ATTATGTCGGAGAAAGAGGAATAAATACTCAATGGTCACATCCGTGATCCAATCTGCTTCATTCAGAACCTTAATTTATTTTTAATAATATAAGCAATATCTGTTAAATTGAATTTAAAATTCTATTTTGCTGAGCTTAAAAGAGTAAAAGTAAAATATACCTTGTAACAAGTATTTAAATTAATATTTATTTTATACTTATTTTTTTACATTGAGTAATACTGGAGTGAATTATTTAACACATTTTTAAATATCCACAATGCTGTGATTTTAAATGATGATAATGTAAAAATTAAAAATTAATCAAAAATATATGAAGCAACTTAGAAACGTACATAATTTTATGTAACACTGAAATGTACTTTTATCAATTTAGGAATTGTGCCTTTCTATGAAGAGGATTGTTTTCCGTAATTCTAAAAAATAATGACTTCTTTATAGGTGCTTAAAAGTCTTCTCTAATTTTTGGCTATATGTAACAGATGAGGACAGATTATTCCTGTTATACTCGTCTGAAAGGAATCTAGAAAATCAAGGAATATGTAGACTAAAATGAATAAATTCAAATTCTATAAAAAAGTCAGGAAATTTTTATTAAAATTTATTTCCTGAAATAAACTTTGATTGTTTGTTTTGTAGTCAAATTTTATCAAGTTTAATTAAAATTTAATGTTTTATGTAGCAGGAAGATTAATTTTAACAGTTACACCAACTTGTTAAGAAATTAAGTGCTATGAACATTTCAAAGTTACTTTCTATCAAAATGCTAATTGCTAGAGGAATCGTTTAATCTTCTGTGAGAACCCTCGTCTGCTTAATGAAACCTTTCGCTCTTTTGTGGCAACAACTAAGCTTCCTTCCAGTATCTACAACTGATAAAAGAAGGAAAAACAAAATAGAAGAATATGTGTGGGAAAATTGTTCTCACATTCTTGGCAGCGTTTGTTGAAGCGAAAAGCAGAGAGCTCAACTTCATGCACCTTTTTCGTTTTTTTCTCTCAAAGAAGAGAATTTCGTGAGTTTGTCTGATTTAGCTCAGCCAGGCCTTAAATCATCAGCATCCTCTGCAGCATCCATAGAGCATGCGCAGTGTCTGCAGAATTTTGCCGCATTATTGATCGTCCCTTTCCCTCTTTCCTCTCTTATGCGGACCGTTTCCATGGAAACAACCGGGAGGATGGAGAGCAAGTCCGGGATGCGGAAGAGCAAAAGGGATGTGAGGATAGAAAAATCTTTCCATCGATCCCACACGAGCTCTCTCGAGATTTAGTTCTTACAGTTCGATAATAATTCTTGGAAACCCCCTTTCCAATTCATATCCCCCACTTTCCTGCTTGTTCTATGAATTCGAAATTTTCAAAGCCTCTCAAGAGACTTTATTTGGCCTTACGAAAACCTGGATTAGAGTGAGTTTGTAAGTGAAAAATTGGGCACAAAAAAAGATTGTTTTGCAAAGTGCCTGCCTGCATTACGATCTCGCGGAACGGCACAAATATTCAGACTACGGAGAATAACTTCCTTTAAAAAAAATTCAAAGCTGTTTGAACCATAAGATCCAGTGCAACTTCCTTTAAAAAAATTCAAAGTTGTTTGAAGTTTAGAGAGAGAAGCATGATATTCTGCGCATGAATTCCGCCAGAATCGTATTTGCGCTACAACAGCAAGAATAATGATATCGTAATAAAATAATTACTCCAAAATATTTAATAATAATTTAGACCTTTATGACCGTGATATTTCGAAAAACATGGAAAAAAATAACTGTATTTGTTTTTACTGATCACTTCATTAGATGATCATCACAATTACCAAAAATATGTAATATTTTACTCAAATTTAAACGCAATTTTTAGTCCAAAGGGATTTGAATCCCGAAGGACTATTAGTTTCGTTTTGGCATTTTGCGTCGGACGGATAAATGTCGGTTCACTTTTCAAACTGTTGCCATAAAATGTTAGAGTCCTGCATTATATTTGAAGAAATTAAATAATGAAAATCTGCGTAAATGTATGTATATTTCTCACATTGTGTCATAAAAAACGGTACATAGAGTCATCGAATTTTGAATAACGTAATCCTCCAACGAATATGAGCATGTGGAAGACCAAATTTGAAATTTGAAATTTGTTTTATGATCGATTTCCTATTTTTTAAAACTTTGACGAATTTTTGATTAACAAACTCAAGGATTTCAAAGCGAGCAATGGCAACGTTGTGCAGAAAAAAACATTTTTATCTCCAGCGCGTGAGTCTCTGTATCGGAAATTCTAAACATATGCTCATTTTAAAACTATTTTGCGATATTGCTGTTGCACTGGATCTTATGGTTTAAGTGCGAGGAACATGATATTTAATAAAGAAAGGTAACACACAAAATGTTAAAAAACGCCCCTTTGGACGTAATTTAAAATCTGAAACATTTCAGATTTTTTTTATATTAATTAGTTTCAAAATATAAGAATACGGTAACGGTTTTACAATCTGAATTTTGTTATATAGCTGCTTTTTGTGCTTATTTTACAATGTGAAAACAGTCTTAAGAAATTGTGTTACTAGGAATTAGGAAGAAAATTAGTTTCTACAACAAAAACTAAAATAAAGTAAATTATTTACTTTCATATAGTTTTTAGTTGTAAAAGTGCACTAATGTATAATGTTGTATGTAAAAATGTATTAATAGCGTTTTCTTTTATGAGCAGTTGTCTAAATTCAAAAACAGTTGTCTATAGTCTGCTGTTTGCTGTCATTACATAAAATATGCTTAAAACCTTTTTGATATACGGCAATCTCTGATCAACGTGATATACAATACGAGCTTATTTATCCGAACTTATGAAGATAAAGGTCTTTCTAAAAACACATTTTTACGGATAACACTTCGTAGTTTTTCTATAATTAGAGACATAAATAAATATGTAGAATATTTTTGAACGTGCATATTACATTATATGTCTATTTTACAGCATGTTTTGATAACTATTTTATTTGAAACGAAAGGTCGGTTCGGGCGTTTTGTCCTTCAAAGTGTTAATACTGGTTTAAAGACAAATATTATGAAATATTTTAAACGCCACAGGCGAAAATATAATATTTTCAGCAGCTGCAGCAAATAGCTATTATGCTTGAGATATGCTTATTGAAATGTTTCTTTTAAAATTAATTCAAGATATCTGTCACATACAGCAGCAATATCTCAAAGTGTTTTCAGCTGAAAGTTTGAGATGGGGGAACTCAAGCTTAATAGGTTACATAGTGCAATGGAATCATGGTTATCCATTAGTTTCAGGGTCATTTTCGTAGGGGATGAGATAATAAAAATTTCTATCGCCATCACCGGCATCAGTCATAGGCAACCGATTTCGAAGATCCACTTTTAGCAGCGCGAATAGTATACGGATAAAACTTGAAAATTACACGCAATATAGCCTTATATCTTCCTTAACATTATAGACTGAAAAATATAGTAATTAGTTATTTTTCTAGGGATTATTAATCCTAAACTTAATTTAAAAAAATGTGATGCTATAATATATAGATATTTAAATAGGTGGCAAGGTATTGAAAACGCGGAGTACTATGCAGCAAGATGATTACATGTTATTTTAAGCATTCTATCATAACAATAAAGGACACAGTTAAAGTAGGTGCACTGTCTGAATTTATCATAAGGACATGAAGACGTAAGCCTATGTTGATTTTTCAGAATTGCGATAACGGTGAAAAAATAAGCATGCGGTGATAAAATAAAAATATATGCATACACATAACGGTGAAAAATATGCATACTATACATAGATCTTAAAACATTTGCCATTTTGCTTTGTTTTAATACTTATTTGTCTTGGATCTTAAGTACAATGATTGGATATTGAATGTTTGCTGTTACTGATCAAAACATTTTGGGTTTATAGAAAAGCACAAACTGAGCTTCACTGAGGGTAATTGTTTTTGCAGTTCATTGATCTCCTCCTCATTTTCTCGTATACAAATACGCTTGATCTCCATATGTTTTACAAGTTCGTCTTCATTCATTTCCCAAAGCTATGATTAATTTTCATCATGCTTATTAAAAGTACTTTCTTTAATATAATGATATTTTAATATTAATAAAATATCATTATTAATATAAAGATCATTAATAAAATATCATTATTAATATAATGATATTTTATTAATGATCTTTAATATAATGAACCTCTTTGATCTCCTTATTAAATTTTCGGATTTGATTGTTATTGGAGGAAAATATTTTGATGGACTCGACTTAGTGGAATAAGTGGTTTTAAAAATGATAGTATAATTATATAAATGGAAACTTCATTTTCAATTTTAATGGATTTTTTTTTAAACGAGTCAGCATTATGAGAAAATTCACCACCATAAAAAAATTCTCCTGACAGTTTTAATACCTGTAAATATATTGTTCTTACCGTATTCATATATTGACAGTGAAACCACGTTTACAAGCCTTTAACATTGAAATTGCCTATCACTACCAGCTGTATTTCGTGCGGAGGCTTACCCATCAAACTCCTTTGTCACATCAATCTTAGACTTGCAGAATCACTTTTCTGATTAAACCAACTTTCTGCTTTTACTATTTTTTTCAGTAGTCTTAGTTTATTCACTTTCTTAAATAACTCAAAGGGAAAATCTCTAACATAATTATTATTTCTAATAGGCGGATACGGCGTCCTCCCAAAGCAAAAAGTATTGCCACTTGAAAGAAGTATTTGCTGCAGATATCATGTGCAAGCGATCTAGTTAAATAAATTAATCGGTAGGGGTTGAATAATTTAGTATTTTCTTTATTAAATAAGTGCACAAATCTTTACTTGGTGTTTACCAACAACGTATAGCAATTTTGTCTTACAATTTGTCTTTGCTCTTTTTAACAGTTTATTTTAAATACAAGACATCAAGTTCCACATCTTTAATTTCTGAAATCAAATTTTTAAACTGGCATGTGTTATGTAACAGCTTACCTTAAAATTTTTCAGGTATTAAACTGAAATCCACGCAGCAAATACAGGTAAGAAACTCTATTTAATTTTATAATTTTTAACTATTTAAATACTTTTAAAAAATTTTTGAAACTTGAAAGGAAAACTACGTTAAGTCTTAGACTGTAAACTGAATTTTTTCAGTGTGTATTATTAATATTACTATCATAACTAATAATTTTATTTATTTTTATTCTTTGAATTGTTTTATTATAACAGATTTTGATAGTTAAAAGAGTGATGTATTGTCAAATTTCCATTATATATGGAAGGTAATAAATACTATTCAGCTATGCGTCAAACCTAATTTTCCATTTGCTTGAAACTGCTAGTAACTTCTCTTTCAGCTAACAGACGGCTTTTCAACTTTATTTATTAGTATTTAAAACACTTCAAAACACCTCTTTTTAAGCTGCTATTTGAGTAATAAAAGTGACTCAATCAGGATGAATTTTCTTACAAAGTGCTGGCACCACAATTTTCTGCGTTTCTATTTATTTATTGAAAGCACTGAATGCATATCTTCAGTGGCCTAATAAAACATTTCCTGACTTAATCGTAAATATTTTAACAATTTAGATAGATATTTCACATTGCAATTTACGGCTCAATTTTATATATACAGCTTCTTCCTTTTCGCGCATTATTTCTACTGAATGTTTGTATTCATCAGAAGAAAATTACATTAAAATGTGTCTTTAGGGAAACATTTTCACAATTATAGCCAATTATGTTAAGTTAATCTGCAAAGCATACACGCTGTTTTACATTGCTCGAAACATAACAGTTTTAATTCATCATCCAATCCGCATAGCAAATAACCAATTTCGAAAATGTTACCCTTCGACTTGAATAGTACTAAATTCGACTCGAATAATTTATTTCTCTTATGGAGATTTTATTGGTTAAAAAATGAGTGATCTAAAAGGAAAAAATCTGATGTGAACACCACATGATTTCCTTGTACGGAATTTCATTTAAGCTTATTTTCTCGAATTTCATGTGAGATATATTTCTCATTCAATTAATTCAGTTCTCAATTCGCGGCAAGGCAAAAATACATAAAATCTCAAAATATTTTCATTAAAAACTGCAAGATATAGAAAAACATAAAAAAACAAATACAGTGAAAACAATTATAAAAACAAATTTTACAATTAAAATTACAGTTTCCAAGCAAAAACAAGAAATTGGGGCCAGCAGGCAAGAAAGCAGATTTTTCTGAGCACAAAACTAAAAGTTTTCTTTTGGTTCCACTCGGCGAAAAGACACTGAAGGTGTAGAAAGACTTAATTCACTATTCTGCTAAGTTTCAAATTTAAACAAATATGACTGCTATGGTAAAAAATTAGGCCTGGCAGCATTTAACAACATTTAAATTGTTGATAATTCTACAACTTTTGCATGCAGATTAACTAAAGGCATAAGAACCTTACCCGGAAGATAAGAACAATTTTAAAGCAAAAAAAAAAATACACAATTTACCAACATATAAGAATAAAAAACTGTAGTTCAGTTTTTTATTCTTATATGTTATGTACTTTTATTGCGACCGATTGCAACCATAAAGAGAGGTGTACAACTACATGTCATAGAAGCCCTATATACAAAATTGCAACGTCCTGAGGCTAATTGTTTCTGAGTTATGCGAGATACATACATACATACGTACGTACAAATGCCACGAAAAAATTCTCTTCTGAATCCCTTTTATAACTCATTTGGGAAAAATGGGTCCCTTGTTTTGTCCTTACGTAGAGATGTCACGTAAAAACATTGTTAAATTGCATTTGACAGCGATCAAAATGGATATTTTCGTTGAAATATGGTACCCGAAATTTTTCGTGAATACAATATTTCCTCAACTTTGTACAAGGAAGAAAAACATAACTTTAATAACAGGAAAGTGTATAGAACAACGTTTTGTTAAGAATAGTTTGTAGTTACTACGTTTTCATTTGCTGTCATTTTACTCTTGATTTCTGTTACTGAAAAATCATCAACGTTAACACCGGATCTTAATGGCTTTTCAGAAAAGGAATTAGCAAATTTATTTTATTTATACAAAGGAAGATTAACTGATTGACAGAGGAATATAATTAAACATCTTGAAAATGATGAACTTTTATATGAGTATTATTGAAAATTCAAAGTATTTAAGAACATAAAATTGAGATAGCATCCTTATGTTATTCTCATGGCTTCCTAAAAACGTCGTGCGATTTTTGTTAATAAAAACTACACTAATTGATTTGACAATTTATTTATTTGCTTTACTTTAATTTTGGCAAGACTAGAGGTAACCATCAGAAAAGTAAATTTGTTTCTTGAGATGTCTTAAAATATTCTTTGTACAAATATGCAAACACATGAAACTGTGTCAAATTCCTGTAATTCGTTGTTTAAATAGTTTCTTTACTTTGAAAAGTAAGTTATTAGAGTTATAGTTTTAGCTCAACTTTGTTAAAAGAGATATACGTCTGAAATAAATTTTGAGTATTATTGCACTTTAAAAATACAAAATATTGATTTAGCTATTTGAAATCTATATACGGTTATAAAAATTTGCCTTTCTAATGATATTATATTAGTTAACATAAGATAATTAGTTCAGAAATTATTTGCAAATAAGTACATATTTTCATTAAAAATGGAGATGATTTTTCTAGCTTTCAAAAGCTACTTTTTAATTCTGTCTTTAAGCTAGGTAATTAATTTAAGCAATTTAACCTGGTTCTCAGACTCCGGAGGGATTGGAAAGCGGGCGAGAAGGGTTACCTTTTTTTTTGGTCTTGGATGGCGTCAAGGACGAAAGAAATTGAACATAAATAACGAAAAATTAGAAATTTTTGTATTGTTTTGTTCTTGTATTGGGTACTGAAAATTCTCCCTTCTTTTAGGACAATTTCTGGAATGTGGTATCCTGCACTATTTAAAATGAGCTGCAGTTGGGAGAGAACTCACATTTTTCTTCTGATTTGATTGCCTTCTTCCTTTGCGTCACCCTCATGGAGAGCTTTGCCTCGGAATAGAAAAAGAATAAGATGATATTAAGGTAAATTCAACGAATTGGATAGCAACTGATGGTAAGTGAATGGTGAAGTTTTTTGGGGAATGAACTCCCTTTTAGAAGCGGAGCTTCCTTCCTTTCCTGCTAATTCTTCGCTGACAACGGGAAACTTTCTACCAACAAAGGATGACTTCCTTCGAGTCTTCACCTCTGCACCATCCCGACTCAGAAACCTTCCGGACAATCTCAGCTATACTACCATCTAACCATTCCAGGCTCTCTTTCCGTGAGTCTCTAAAAGATTTATACCTGCAACTAGTCTCGTTACTTTGATCTGAGAAATTATGTGAGGTCTTGTGTACCGTTACTTTGAAATGATGACTCCATTTTCCGATTCTGAAACCGACCGGACTGTCTCATCCTTTTCACTTCTAGTGAGATGAATTCTTCAGTTAGATAAGAAATACCTTCTTTATTTGTGGGAAGAAATTTTGTTATTGTTGGTTTAAGCACTCACTGCCTCTGATTATTTTAATTTCTTTTGACCATATTATGCTACTTTAAGAAAGACTAAAGGTTAATATGTACTACTTTATCTACCGGAAGTAAATATGTTTGAGATGTTTTAATTTTAATTGAAAATCCATAACAAAAGAAATAACTCTGATGGAAATTAGTTGTGATTATTTGTTTTCCTGCCACTTAACTCTTACAACCAGAGTTGTTACTCTCATGTATAACTGAATTTTCTGGAATGCAACGTGATAGTTTAATTGATTACATTTTGATAATACATTTTAGTTAAGTTAATAAGGTGTTTTGAAGGGTTTCAGAAACCACTACGAAACACGTACTATACCCTGACTACAAAACATTATGACTTTCAAATGTAGAAACATACATTGATGTCCACATATCTTTATTCAATATTATTATTCTCTGGCTCCAATTTGACAGAAGCTATTAATTTAATTATTTTAAGTGGCGTTTTTATTTTAGCGTGTAATAGCTAACACAGGATTGTCTAAATTTATCTGAATTAAAATTTCCAAATATTTTTGAGCCAGAGATATTGCATTTGACATTTGGTAATTATTTCGCTAATAATAATACAAAGTTTTCCGTTATATATATGTAGAATTTGACTTGATTCACAGCATGAGAGCACGAAGTAATATTTAAATGGTTTATTTAATAGAAAGAAATAAAAGTATATAAAGAAAAGTATATAAAGATGAAGTTAACGGTATGCAGGATTAACATAATGATGTAAAGGCATAACATCGAAAGCGCAATTAAAGTTCGTAAACTCTTGAAGACGTGTGAGCCGTCTGCTCACGTCTGCCTTCCACTCTCGAGCAGGTCTCAGCGCTGTCTGGGATGATTCTTACTGCGCTGGGTGATGCTATACTGATGACGTCATAATCCTGGTATTCTAATTCAGCATTGGACGTTGATGACTCCCACAGCTTCGGCCAGCCTGAAGAGGCATCGTCCTCGATGTCTGTTGAATGGACATCACTATCATGATGATAGTTACCTGCAAAGATAATAATAAAAAAAAAAAAAAAAGAGAGAGAGAGTATCAGGTCCTTAGGCTTTGAGCTGATACAAACATCAAATCAATTTGACCATGGCTTCATATGGTCAGCCGCAATGGATGTCAAATTTGGTCCTTCATGGCATCCTACTTTCTCGCAACTTCATATCTGTCATTTGATCGAACAGCTATGATTTTATTATGATTTTATACGGTCCATGAAACTTAGGTCGTAAGTTTCAAACCAGTCCCATATTGAGTTCTCTGAATGGCTACCAAGTCGCCAATCTTGTACAGTTTCGGTTTCTTACGTTTCTTGTTGAATTGTTTACGATTCTCTTCTTGTATCTTCAAAATGTTGTTTTTAGCATCTTCTCTCATCTCATCGCGTTCTTGTATCAATTGTTTTAGATATTCTGCATTCAATATCTCACTAATTCTCAAATCTTCTTTATTCTTCATTTTCGTGCCTATGAGAAGCTCAAACGGTGAATATTTCGTACTTCTCGTAGTTGTACTGTTGATTATTCTCTGAACATCTGGAACATATTTAAACCATTTTCGTTGAATCTTCATGTGATAATTTTGACAAAACAGGAATCAAAAATTCTATGGAATTCGCTCAATTTTGTCCGTTACCTCTTGGAATACCGGTAGTAATTTTGACATGTTCTATTCCTTCTTCAGTACAATAAGCTAAAAATTCTTTCGATGTAATAAGGCTGAAAATTCTTTCGCTACCTTCGATCTGAAATTATTCTGGATGGATTTCCCAAATACAGTCTGTTTGTTGCTTCAATTTTGAAATAACTTCTTGCGTAGTTGGTGATTTCACTGGATAGAACCAAGTAAATTTCGTAAAAGCATCGACAACAGTTAGAATGTGTTGGTATCTCTTGTTCGTCGATGGAAGAGGTCCAATAAAGTCGATATGAGTACGTACTCAAGGGAACGTTTTCTTTTCGGTACAGGATGAAGAAATCCTTCTGCTTTTCCTTGCTTCTTGTTGTACAGTATACATTCTATACAGTTAGCAATTACTTTTTCAACTTTACATTTCAGTCTGGGAATACAGAATTCTTGCTCTACAGCATTCACAGTTTTATCTACAGCAAAGTGACCTTTTTTATGTACCTTCTGTATGATTTCGTTCTGTAAGGATTCTGGCACTACTAGAAGATCTTTACCATTTTCAAATTTGTACAAAATATCATTTCTCAGGAAGAATCCATTTTCTTCTCCCTTCTCAACTAAATTCTTTATCAATTTCACATGTTCATCTTCGTTCTGTTGTTGTACTAATCGAATCTTCTCAGTTACATCGGATGTGTATGATGTTAAAATTAAAGCATTTCTACTTAAAGCATCAGCATGTTTCATTTGGCTTCCTGAACGATGTACAATTTCGTAATCGAATTCTTCAATAAACATTGCCCATCTCGCAATTTTAGGAGTTAAATCTTTCTTATCTAAAGTTTTCTGAAAAGCACTACAATCAGTTACAATTTTGAATTTAGTCCCTAACAAATAGTTTCGAAATTTCTTCAGAGCTTCTATTACTGCAAGGGCTTCTAATTCGTAACTACAGAGTTTCTCTTGCTGCGGTGAAGTCTTCTTACTCATATACTGGATTGGGTGATAATTACCATCATCAGACAATTGGAGTAATACCGCACCAAAGCCTTGACTATTAGCATCAGTATGAAGTTCTAATGGATATCCTTGCCTAAATATGTGTAGAACAGGTGCCTGAGAGAGAATTTCTTTTAATCTGCAAAAAGCTTCCTGTTGTTCGGAATCGAATCGAACTTAAAACCAATACCTTTTCTAAGTAAGTCACTAAGAGGTTTAGCTATTTTAGCATACTGAGGAATGAATTTACGAAAATATCCCGTTAGTCCTAAAAAGCTTTGTAGTTGTTTACAGTTACGCGGTTGTGGAAAGTTTCGAACAGCAACAGTTTTGGAAGGTGATGGTCGAATAGTTCCGTTTTCAATTACATGTCCCAAAAATTCAATTTTGCGTTTTAAGAATTGGCACTTTTTGAAATTTATTTGTAACCCATACTCCGAAGCAGTTTTGAATACTCTTTCTAATTTGTCTAAACATTCAACTTCATCATTAGCCGGTATGACTATATCATCCATATAAATAATTAGTACACCTTCATTTAGCAAGTCACGAAATACTGAATAAATATACCTTTGAAAAACATTTGGACTAATACATAAACCAAAAGGAGCTTTAAGAAATTCGTAGATAAGATACCATTATGTGTTACAAATGCGGTATATTTTTGTGCAATTTTCGTCTATGTCTACATGGAAAAAGCCATTTTTCAAATCTAGTGTCGTGAAGACTTTTGACTGTTCTAAAGCGATCAAGTACTTCCGGAATTAAAGGCAGTGGAAATTTGTCTGTTAATAATAATCTTCTTATTTAATTTCCGATAGTCCACAATGGATAATAAACGTTTTCGAATTATTACGCTTGTTACACAAAACAATAGGCGCCGAATAATTAGAATTGCTAGGCTTTATTATGCCCTCTTTTAACCATTCCTTAATTTGATCGTCAACAATTTTTTGTTCCGCGAAAGACATGTATCTTCTATTTTGACAGACAGGAATATCATCGCATAAATTTATTTGCATCTTGAAGTCAGATTGTCTATTTTTCCGAGGCTGGTAAGAATTAATTAAATTACACAGTCTTTCTTTATGTTCTACATTCGAAATATGCGATAAATCAATCTCGTTGACAGAAATAGCATTCACCAGATGTGAAAGGTAATTAAACGTCGCGCTACTTCCGCTTTCGGGACTTTTGTTTACATTAACAGAGACGCCAGACGATCGCGAAGGATCATAAGCATTCTTCAATGAGACAGCAATATTCAAATTTCCCATAATGCAACGAACGTTAGAATTTCGAGATGACTCAGCAGTTATCAAGTTTACATTACTTTTATTCCGATGAGAAATTATTTGAAGGCCATTCTCGGTAAAAGAGAAGTTAAACTGATTCAATACATCTAAACCTAATACAATTTGATTACATAATGACTTAACAACATAAATTTTCGTACGAAGTGAAAAACTATCAATTAAAATATCAGAAATAAAAAAGCCGATGGGGTACGTTTGCTTTGATTCAATTCCGTTTAATGTGATATCACTACAATTTAAATTAGGAGAACCAATCTGCTTGTGTAACTCTACGCTGCATATCGTTACATCTGAACCAGTGTCAACTAAACTATTAACTAACTAAATGATTATTTATTTCTACAGTCTTCATAATTCTATCCTTGTCACAAATTCGTTGTAATAAAGCTGCTTGATGTGTTTCGGGAGTCTGCTCTGGACAGTTCGTTGAATAATGCCCGAACTTCTTACATTTTACACCCTTTGATTTGTTTACACAATGCTTTGAATAATGCCCAAATTCCTGGCAATTAAAACATTTGACCTTATTAACGTTAGATTGATTTCGGTTTGATGACGAAAGCTTACTTCTATCTTTAACTTGAGTGTCTACTTTCGTTTTTTTCGGATTTTTTAAACTTATCATTATCCGATCTCATTTTATCATAAAATTTTAAGCCTTTGTTTTTAAATTCAGATATTGTTTCGCAACCATATAGTATAGTTTTCCTCACTACAGAATCAGGAATACCATCAATAACATATTTAATTAATGAAGCATCTTCAATGTTACCTCGCGAACACATTTCTTTCATTTTCAAAAAATACTCAACTAAAGATTCATTAGGCATTAATTTACGTTTACATAACATTTCATGCAACTCAGCAGAATTAAAAGCTTTACCATATTCAGATTTCAAAAGCTTTTTTAACTTACACCAGTCATTAACTTTAGGTTCACTCTGAATAAATAGTTTCGCTTTACCTTTTAATGATCTTTTAGCAAAAACTAATTTATGCAAGTCACTCAATTTTAAAGAATTTATAACATCTTCAAATTCATCAATCCATTTATCAACATTTTCATATGCATTACCAGAAAAAGGATTAACAATACTTTCAATATCCGAAAAACTAAGATGAGGTTTTAAAATGATCTTGAATTGGAAGCTGCATACTGTTATTTACTTGAGATTCGTTTAAAAC